TGCAGAAGTTTAAGTGGGAAGTCTGTAGTCACCCATATAGCCAACGAGTGACTATTTCCTTTTCCGAAATTTAAAGAACATTTATCTGCAATAGATTCTCTTCAGACAGTGATGTGGAAACAGCTACACAGAACTGGTTCACTGGACAGAGACCTGATTTCTACCGAGCCGGGTTATTGTTTAACCCGGCTCGGTTGGTCCTGCATTAAGATAAAAGCCCAAATGAATTTGGTGATTATGTGGGAAAATGAGAGGCAAGTATGCCTCTTAATTCCCTTTTGTATTTTCTGTCTATTGTCAATACATAATTTTTTCCTTACTTTTATATTTTTTTTATTCACCCTCGTATATATGAGATGGTTATGAAATAGCTTTCCCTATATTCGAGCCCTTAGCGCCAATACATTTGAACGAATTGACACGAAGCTTGTAATGTAGATTATGATTACAGTGTAGCTGAAGGGGGATGCGAATGCTACGATTTCTGCATTTTCTTATTTTGAATAGCAGCACCCATATTTCTGGCAAAGGCATTATGTTAATATTTGTATGAATCGCGCAGTGAAAATCCAGTAATCAGTGTTAGAATGATACTTATAATTTGCCGGTTCAAGAACACTAAGGTTGAAGAGCTAGAATGAAAAACGAGAGAAGAAAAGCGACAAGCCATCATGCGAAAATATGTATTTGGATTACAGCAGTAAAAGTGCACTTACTGTAACAAAGCAACCCAAGTTTCTTTCCTCTGAATAGCGATGATGAAGGAGCATTGAGTTAGGTAGATCTCGTTTTTCTCAGCATTGGGAATATTTACTATTCCTTCAATATCACATCAATAATATTAGAAACAAGAATATTGCTATCGTTGTTTAAGGATTTGCTATACACAAGATTGAAGAGTAGCCTTGGCGCCTGCGCCAAGTGAGCTGATTATCTTAGTGTGCTTGAGAGGATTCCGATTTTCTGATTAAGCAGTCACCTTACACAACATGATCATTGGTGACGTTTAGTAACCCATGTTTCCAAAAAAATGGTCACCTTTAGAAGTGGTTATCGCCGGAATTAATTTAACTGTCATTTTTCATTTCATCAATTTACTAATGACGTCAGTGACGCTGAGATGTTACTTTTAAAGATTCGAAGTTTATATACTTATGAAAACTTCACATTGTTTACCAAAATTCACATTTTAAGAACTTTCGTATGTTTTCAGTTACATGTTTAATGCACTATTTCAAAGCGACAATCACTGAAAGTGAATAATATTTTTGGTTTGATAAATAAACATCGGTATTAATAATCACATCATTATTCTCTTAAACGACCATTCCCTATTTCGACCATCACCATGCACTAGAACAACGACTAAAATATCTATATTCGGTATTAAATTAAAATATTTATGTACTGACAAAATAAAAATACCGTTAAAGAATTACAGTTTTTGCTGTACTAATAAAACTGCTTATCACACTAATAGCAAAATGGTTTTTATTTAGAGTGCTTGTATTTTTATATCATTAATATTAATGTTTTAAGTGTAATGTAATATATCATACGAATAGAGTGGGAATTTTTGTGCAGTTCTCATGGCATTTCTGTATTTTTGATATCTAAATTAATTATTGTAGTCGTACACAAAAAGAACAATGGTTCGGAAACAATTCGGTTTTGCTTTTGGCCTTGTTGCAGTCGGTGGCACTTTACAGTTCAATTCAATTCTCCAAGAATTTAGATTATTTTTTGTTTGAATTGTGAGTTATTGTGTATCAATACAATGATTATACGATGGGCTTAGCACTGCCCGTTTAAAGGAAATCAGAATGAATTTTCAATGGCATATGATAAGATAAAATCAATCGAATGATTCGTTGTACAAAAGATATGAAAACACGTGCAAAAGTTATTTTTCATTTTATCCTTAAACTTTTATCATACTATCATGATGTAGGTAAACTGAAGGTTGACTGCATCACTTTGTTCTGCAGGTTTATCTGACGGCAACTGAAATTAATGTTTATTTTTCCCTGTTTTGGTTAAAGTCATATGGTTCACAGAATGTGAGAGAAAACACTTATTATTTATTGTCAATGGTTTAACTCAGTATTCAAGATGTGTTGATATTATAACAAAGCATATATAAGAAAATATATTGTTTATATTATGAATTTCGCCTTTGTGAACTGTATCATAGTACATAAACCTAAATGTGGAGTAAGTAATTGGGAAATCTTTATTGTGATATTACCACAAATTACAAACTGATGCATTTTAAAGCCACAAAAGCGCCTCTCATCTTCAGAAGCAAATATTTTCTTTTTCCTGAAAAGAAGAGATTACTTTTACGACTTTTAAAATGCGTCGACGAACATTAAAATGAATTTTAACTTTCTCTTTGTAGTGTATTAAAACGTTTTTACTTTCATTAAATCGCTCATGATGTTATTTTACATACCTGTGTAGTATAACTTTAGCCTCTAAAGTTGACTGCTTTACTACACGAGTTCATTAGTTGGCTGTTTGAAATAATTGCTTAATTGTCAAAGTATATTCTTTCCTTTCCTTTATTTAATATAGTATAAGCACTTTACTGAAATTTTATCTTGTGAGTTTTATATTTTTATATGACCATCCAATAAAAAAGGAAATAGTAAAATAATAAATTTTTGTACCACACAGTAATAAACAAATTATTTAAGGCAACATTATGAGCTTTAAATTGTTAATGATATAATGTAAAATAAAATTTCCTATATGCATTGTTTTTTTCGTCTATCATACGTTAGATTTTATATCTTATAACTTAAACTAATATAAATTAAAGTCAATTCCTGATAAACATGTAATAGCAATGTAGAAAATTTATTAGCCCAGAAGGGTTATCAGTCTCAAAACGGCATTTGCGTTGAATCACTCAAAGCGCTGAATCATTTCTCAAATTGCCGCTACCAAATATTATCGTCCTGTGTTATATTTAAAGAAACTAAATAATGAAGAATCTATATGATTGTGCATGATGTCCTACACTTATCAAATTTTGAATAATATAGTCCTACACCCGAATATGGGTACCTGGAAGCCTTAATTTGGAATCTGGAATTTGTTTTGTTGTCTATTTCATATTTTGTAAAACTTTAACGAATTTTCGATTAAAAGAACTCAACAATTTCAAACCGAGCAGTGGCAACACTGTAGGGAATAAAACATTTTTATCTCCAGCTCGCGAGACTGTCTATCGTAAATTCTAAAAATTTGCTTTTTTAAATACATTTTAGCATAATGTTGCGTTAGCCCAAATACTCTCAAAATGTATATGTGTCTTTAAATTTAAAAAAAAAAAAGTAAAGCATTAAAAAAAAAAAAAAAATCTGAAATGTTTCAGATTTTAAATTACGTCCAAAGGGGCGTTTTTTAACATTTTGTGTGTTACCTTTCTTTATTAAATATCATGTTCCTCGCACTTAAACCATAACATCCAGTGCAACAGCAATATCGCAAAATAGTTTTAAAACGAGCATATCTTTAGAATTTCCGATACAGAGACTCACGCGCTGGAGATAAAAATGTTTTTTTCTGCACAACGTTGCCATTGCTCGCTTTGAAATCCTTGAGTTTGTTAATCAAAAATTTCGTCAAAGTTTTAAAAAAATAGGAAATCTATCATAAAACAAATTTCAAATTTCAAATTTGGTCTTCCACATGCTCATATTCGTTGGAGGATTACGTTATTCAAAATTCGATGACTCTATGTACCGTTGTTTTATCACAATACGAGAAATATACATACATTTATGCAGATTTTTCATTATTTAATTTCTTCAAATATAATGCAGGACTCTAACATTTTGTGGCAAACAGTTTGAAAAGTGAACCGACATTTATGAGTCCGACGCAAAATGCCAAAACGAAACTAATAGTCCTTCGGGATTCAAATCCCTTTGGACTAAAAAAAAAAAATTGTTAAAAAAAAAAAAAAAAAAAAAAAAAAAAAAAAAAATCTGAAATGTTTTCAGATTTTAAATTTAGTCCAAAGGGGCGTTTTTTTTTAACGTTTTGAGTGTTACCTTTATTTATTAAATATCATGTTCTTAGCACTTAAACCATAAAATTCAGTTCAAGAGCAATATCGCAAAATAATGTTAAAATTAAGCATATCTTTAGAATTTCCGATATACACAGTCTCGCGAACTGGAGATAAAAGTATTTTTTTTTCTATATAAAAACGTTGCCATTTCTCGCTTTTAAAGCATTGAGTTTGTAAATCAAAAATTCGTTTTAAAGTTTTACAAAATATAAAATCTATAATAAAACAAATTCCAAATTTGGGATTTCAGATGCCCATATTCGCAGTAGGATTTCGTCATTCAAAATTCGATGGCTCTATGTACCATTGTTTTATCACAATGCGAGAAATAGACAATCATTTATGCAGATTTTTCATTATTTAATTTCTTCAAATACAATGCAGGACTCTAACATTTTGTGGCAACAGTTTGAAAAAGTGAACCGACGTTTATGAGTCCGACGCAAAATCGCAAAACGAAAACAATAGTCCTTCAGGGACAAAGCCCCTTTGGACTAAAAAAAAAACCGCCCGTTTGGGCATGATAGGAAATCTGAAAGGTTTCAGATTTTTTTTTATTATTTATTCTATTTGATTTTTATTTTATTCATGGTTATTTTAAAAAAAAATATTTTTATTATTTCTATTGAAAGCTATCTTGCTGTATTTTGAAATTTGGGCCTTAAAAAAAAAACTTGCTTAAAAATATTTTTTGATTCTTTTTTCATTGTAATTTATTGTAATATTGCCAGATAATTTTGATGTTATAATTGCATAGCAACTAAATTCTAAAAATTCATATCAGTTACATGTCAAGTACATAACCTAATTGCGTAATTTATTATAGTCATAAAAAAGTAAGGACAAATCCTTCATCTTCTAAAACAAAAGAAAAAGTAAAAAAAGAAGAGTATATGTTTGTTTCTCTTTTCGGTAGGATTTCCTGAAGCAGAATATCGAGATCATCCCCTTCTAGTTCCATAATGCTGGAACACAAAGGTACAGTCATGACTATCGCAGCCCTTCTGCTGTATTTTTTGTGGATGGACATTGCTCTTTTTTACAAAGTCCAAAACCGCATTTCTTCACGTCATGTAGTGCCCATCAGTGGAACTTCCACGCCAGCTTCTTTGCCAGAGATGATATCTCCTTTCACGGGCCTGTCCGTTAAACTCATCATGATGGATCCGGTCAACAACTACATACATAACCCAGCAGCTCACTTATTCAACGAGGTGAGAAACGTTTCATTATCTATTGCCTGTAATACGAAAATACGACTTTAATGATTACTTGGTCTTGAATATCAATCTACAGCAACTTTTAAGGTATGGATACTCTTCTTGCTTCATTTCCTAATTATAAAATAATTTCAGTCAATATTCCATTTATTCTTTCGCATTTCAATTTGAGTGTGTAAGGACCATGAGCAAATGATATATACTGTAGTTAAATTTAAGGTACATAGACAGTATAATGGTTAGGTGAGCCGACTGCTATACCAAAGGGCTCGGGTTCGAATCACGGAGAAGGCATGTTTTTAAGTGTACATCCCTTCATAGGAGATAAAGGGGGCCCACCTAGTACGTCTCTCCAATAATATAAAAGTGACCACCACTTCTGGCTTTAATAGTGGTCAAGCCAAAGTCGGCTGACAGCCCACCATTGGGGGGTTGAAAATTAGTTATTTGTAATCAACAAGATTTGTTTTAAATCTCTGTTATTATTTTGGAGTAATTATTGTTCTTAATAATAAACCCAAAGCCTTTTCTCTGAGACATTTTATAATCACAAATATTTCATTAAAGTGTTCCCAAATGACGATGTGATTAAAAAAAAGGAAATCACTTTACCAAATCTACTTATATAAAAATTAATTTCGAGTTTATTCAAATATATTTATTTAATTTAAACTTAATGTGCTTTATCACTTTCTTGATAAATTTATTATAGTGAAACATAAAGTACAAGGCTATTCGTGATTCCATGAAACATTTTAAAAATTCGTAACAAGAAAAGTATGCCGCTGATACCGAATTTTATTTTACAAAACTAAAGACATATTCATCGAGTTTCTCAGTGCTCAAAATATATACACACAGTGCTGAATCAGTTACACGATGCTTGCTGTGCGTTAGATATTATATTGCGCATTATTATACGAATCGAATAAATGACTGTACAACAATATGCAAGACAATGGTAGTATATAACACCATGCATGCCTTGTTGTGTGATGTTGCCAAGCCAAGCAATTCTATGCAAGGTTATTAGATTATACAGGTTAAGTAGATGCAGTGTAGGTAGATGCAGATTAATTCTACGCTTTGTGCAGAGCAGATGCAGTGCAGACATAATACAAGTGGGTTGTATTATGCTGATATTGTATACAGTACAAGTAGTAATTACAGATGAAACTTTACGCTGTAGAACACATTATGCTTCTTAAGTATAGTAGAAGAGCAGATGCAGTGCAGACATAATACAAGTGGGTTGTATTATGCTGACATTGTATACAGTACAACTAGTAATTACAGATGAAACTTTACGCTGTAGAATACATTATGCTTCTTAAGTATTATATCAGGTACACAATGCTTATATAATTTGAATAGATATGCAGCACTTTTTATATACACAATGCTTACAGAATTTATACGCAATGTAAAAATGGATACACTATGCTTGTAAATGGATACACTTGCTGCTTACAGAATGGTTACACAATGTAAAGTCGGATACATTTTTGTTTTATACTGTGCAGTTAAGCATGGACATGCAGGCAGTAGCCTGTGATCAGTCAGTGTTGTTCAGTGTTGTGCTGTGTACACTGTTGATAAGTTCTGTACACAATTTGTAAGGGTGTTCCAATTACTTTGCGCACAGTACCTTATACACTGATATATCACTTGCAGTTGTTGTAAATACTGTAGATATTCCAGTAAATACTTATAGATATTTCAGTCGTTGTAAATACTATTTCAGTAGTTGTAAATATTATAAAGACACAATGCAGGTAGCAGTCTGTTGATAGTCAGTATTGTGCTCTATACGCTGTAAATGAGTACTGTAGTAAGCAGCTATGTCTCTTATACTATGTGCAGAGTACTTTATGCGCTGTTTGGACATTTCAGCGGTTATATATACATGTTGGTAGTACACTGTGCAGTTATATTAGAAGAACTGCACACAATTTAAACATATTGTAAGTTGCATTCAGATGATTGTCAGTGTGAGGGACTGTCAGAATTCTCATGATGATTTGCTAGTAAAAGATGACTGTTGTGTTTGGTTGGCAGATATCTTGCCCTAGGGCGTTGACCTGCCTTATTATTTTGCAGATCTTTTTGACCGCTGGTGGGTGCTTAATGATGAATCGTTTATATGATTCTATAATTGTGGCTGGGAGTAGTAGGTGAAAGTTGAACGTATGGCTGCATTCAAATATGTAGTGGTCGGGGAAGCCAGTTGCCCCGCAGACGCATATATCTGTCATCGAAATTGCATGTCTCTGAAAATAGGATGGAAATGGGCCATGTCCCGTGATATAATTTGTCAAGGGTGGAATAGCCTGGAGACGTTCGTTATCTACTATTGGGTAGAATCCGTGTGCCCTTCTTCCTGTATCACAGTTATCCCACTTCCGTTGTCACTGTCCTTTGCTTAGTTCTCTTAGCGTTCGCTTTAAATGCGAAATCGGGATTGGAGCTGTTACCTCTTGCGCGTCGTTGTTGAGTGCCGCCTCGTTTGCTAATTGGTCGGCCATCTCTTTACCCTCAAATGCCAACAGGCCTTTTCACCCAGATTAGTTGATGATGTGTGTTTGCATATTGTTACGCAGGAGCTGTTGGATTGCTATAATTGTGGGTGACGTATGATGGTGATTCATGATTGCCTATAGCACTGACAGGCTGTCTGTGTGAATTTCGGTTGCTGCTAGATTAATGTCCAGAGTATACTGAATTGCAGTTACTATTGCCACAGCCTTCGACTGTAAAATGCTGTTGTGTGTAGCATGATGGCCTTTCCATTTGTTTTCCACTGGGTCATTTTTGAAGTTAATGAAGGCGCATCCCACTCCATTGACATACTTTGATCCGTCGGTGTAGAATCGAGAGTTCACACGTGGAGTTTCTCTGGGAGGCTTTGAGTGTTGTGCTGTCACAACATGGATGCATTTACTTTTGTGTGCCGGGTGCACATACTGCACACTGCCTGGTAATTCATAGTGTATTGTATAAAAGGCGGTACCTGCAAAGTTGGCATCTTGTTTTAGCCTGATTAGGGGCTCATACGCAGCTTCTATGCTGGCCTTTATGTGCAGGGGTGTTAGTCCCGCAAGGACCAGACCATTATTGCACTTGATGCCGTTGTCCTATATGCCCTGCTTATGTTTAGAGCAAATGGACGTTGTATTGTTGTCAGGAGTTTGATCTTGCGACTTCCCATTGATTGCACCCATATAGCCGATGCGTAAAGAGCAATTCTCTCCGCTATCGTTAGATATAGTTGTTTCTGGATGCGAGGGTTTTGCCCCCAGTTGCTTCCCTGGAATTGTCTGGCTTTCTTAGCTATATTTGTTGTCTTGACTCTGATGTCTTGTAGGTGGGGCAGCCATGTGAAACTCTGAACCCATGTGACTCCGAGATACTTTATTGTTTTTGAGATCTTTAGATTTCATCCCATCAATTTTATACACGGCCGTCGCATTGGATTGGTCGTGGGATGACTACTGCCGTTAACTTCTGGGCGAAAATGATCAATTTAAGTCTACTGCATTTATCTGAAAATATGGAATCAGGCTTCCGTACCATTTCGTTCGAGTTCTTCTCTTGTGCGGCCAGAGACTAGCAATCCCGCATCATCTGCATATGGCAGAGCCCGCAATACCACAATAGAAAAGGTTCTTTTCTCTTATCAGCGGCACTGGCGGTCCACTGTGGATCGATGCCTAACAAAGGCATCTCAAAATTAATTTTTACGAAAGTTGCTTTACTAAAATATCTGAAATGGTTAATATTATCCAAGACATTGGAGTGTTTAAATTCAATATGTATTTGTGGAAATTAAAAGTTTTCAATTTAATAATAGCCTTACAATTTAGAAAAACAAATGGCAGTTTCTTTATCGTATTGTAATAACGATTTTTTCCATACCTAATCTTAGCGAAACTTTGAAATGACAATGCAGCACAAATCCTTGAAGGAATTAAAATGAAGTAATTCTTGTTTTTAATTTGACCAGTCAAAGTCCTTCTATCTACAAATGCTTCAAACTTGTAATAATTACAGACGGAGGTAAAAAAAATAATTAAACGTTTCTGTCATTTTTGCTTTAATCTGATTTTTATAGAATATAATTTCTTGAAAAACAGTAAGATTATAGGACCCAGAACCTGGATTTTTCACCATTAATTGCACTCTTGTATAAACAGTTTTATAAATAATAATTCTTTTTTAGAGATTTAATTTTGTTGTTTTAGAAATTAGGTACACAGGAAAAAATTATGTTTAATATTTTACGCTACATTTTAGCTTCCTCACATAATGCAATTAATTGAAAAATGTGATTCGTCAATGACTTTCCTTTCGAAAAAATTTCAATTTACCTCTTCTTTCTATCCAAGTTTCATATTTGTAATGTCTCTTGCAAATACTTTATATTTTATATTCTCATCCTTAGCAGTGTTTGAAATAAAGTAGAGCATATTTAACTCTTTGTTTTTTAACGTCTGCTTTAATTTCGTTTCAGGTGACTAATTTCAGCACAGTTTTCTATTTTATTACGCCAAACATGATAAGTTTCATAGGCCTCCTCTTCGCTCTTGGAGCAGCCAAATGCACGACGATGGAAGCAAGAATTTTTCATTATGTTGCTATCTTCCTCTTTCAAATGAGAACATGGTGTGACGCACTAGATGGCGATGTTGCTCGCAGCCGCATGGGGATGGTTCAACATGTATCGTTAAGAAACACTAGTGGTTATGTTGTGGATGGAGTAGCAGATGCATTAGGATTCGCTGCATTTTTAATAGGTTAGTTTTCTAGCAAACATTTTCTTGTTATTTCCCAGTGGTTTTTTTAGTTATGCGAATCACAACACTTTTTATGTTTGAATTTTAATTTAGTAAAGATTTTCATATTAGTAGAATGTTTTTACCTTATTACGAATAAAATCGTTACTGAATCTCAACGTATTGTAGATAAAATTTTGGTGCATTTTTAAAAGTCTGTTTACACCTGTAATTCAAAACTTTTTGCACTTTCAGAATTACAAGAATTGTAAAAACATATCACAGATTTTTTTTCTTCTATGTGTGTGTGTGTTGATTTCAGTAATACTCTAAGGTATTTCTCCTTACACCAAGAAGGATTACCACACCACAGACGGTTACACCACGAAGGGATTAATTACACCACGAATTCATGTGGAACACGCCTTCGTGTTGTAATTGGAAACGTATTCTACGTGTATTCGAGAAATCCAGGGTTCGAGTTCAGGCGAGATCACTGCACATTTTTCACGTCTTCAAAAAATTTAAAAGCTCTACAAGTGACGCCTGAATTAAAAGGGTGGTGGACGACAATTAGTCCAATTAGGACAACTACCAGGATTTGGCAGTTGAGTCCCCTAATTTCAAGTCGCCTTTTGAAAAGGGGGAGTATATAAGGTATTTTCTATCATCTTTCTGCACTCCTTCGTGGTGTAATTGGAAGCATACTCGACGCATATTCGAGAGGTCCGGGATTCAAGTCCCGTCAAGGGCACTGCACGTTTTTCACGTCTCCTGCTCTAGAATAACCCAATCACTAAACCTAACTAATCACTAAACCACTAACCTAATCACTAAAACCTTGTACAGTGCAACCAACCCCTATATCCTTGATACAGTTACGCCAAATACAGGATCTAATATCTTAAATGTTCTCTTTTATGTTATTAATAGGGTTCTAAGATGTGTAATACTAACTTAAGAAGCATTTTAGACTGCTAAGAGAGTTATCCTTCCATCTGTAAAATACGATGAAGTCTTATGAAGGTTTTAAATAAAACGTTTTATTTGAGTTTGAATTTAACAAGAAGCACAACTTGTTAAATTTAACAAGAAGCACAATCAAAAGTCCGCAACTTGCAGGTATTAAATAACCTAAAAGTGAATTTACAGTTTAAAACTGATTTATAGTCTGAGGCTTACACATATATACCTAAATAAAAATTGACTCATAAATTTTAATAATGTAATTTAACTTCCTCTATCAAAATGGTCAATGTTGGAATACTAGCTAACAGAGATGGGTGAGAGAAAGTATAACTGCGAGCATCGCTGCCAAAAGCTCTATGTCTAAAGCATTCAAAGCTTTGAATATGGGTAAACTCATCTGCTTCCCGGTGAGTGCACACAAAAAGGAAAAGTTATAGTAGAGACGAAAATCATAAAAATGGGTTAATTGATATGAAATAACTTTACATGTTAATATTTTCTCCTCAAACATTTTTATACATTGTTTAACCAAGAGTAGCTTATGAATCTAAATTCATTAAATTCAGCTGCACTGTAACAGAAAGAGTGAATGTTTGATGTCAATATTTGCGTGTACCGCTTTTAATACAAGCTATTTTTCTCTACAAAATTTAAGCGGTACGCATGAAATCATAGAATAGTTTTCACGTTATAATAAAAATGTAATATATCTTCATTATCATATGCACTGAACCCCATCTCGTAGCGACCACCTGTGAAAATGAATATATAGTTATTTCTGAGACCATAAAAGAACACCGATACTGAACATCACTTTTCTGAAATGATCACCTGCACGGAAGACCAAAATCATCTGGAATCTTTGAAGATCATTGTATTTTAAACACCGATTATTTTTTATGGAAGCATTCTTCTGCTTTTAAAATCAAGAGCAAACCAAAGGTCTGTCTGATTCACGGAAACTGCGTCTTTGCAAATAGCAACTGTACTTTATTTTCATAGAATTATACAATTAATTCAGACGTTAAAAGTGACTATTGAATTGTAATCTTTCTTAAGTTTGCTGAAGTTACATAATATACAACTTTGAAAGAAGCTCCTGAACAAAACAAGTACCTTCGTAAAATTCACTTTAATTCTTGTATACCTGAATTGGATACATTTTCGCAGAATAAACTCCATTCTGTTGCATATTGTTAATAAACGTCTTAAAGATGCTACTTACGTGCTGCGGTATCGCGTCCGAATGATTTTAATCATTTGATTCTCTCATGACTTGTATTTTACAGCAAAAATCCTGTATATAAATGTTGTATCCTGTATAAAATGTATGTAAATATTGTATCCTTTGTGTAATATGTGTTGTATCCTGTATATAATGTGTGTAAATGTTGTATCCTATATATAATGTATGTAAATGTTGTATCCTTTATATAATTATATGTTGTATCCGGTATATAATGTATGTAAAAATCCTGTATGTAATGTATGTAAGTGGATTTATTGAAATTCTAAACAGTGAGAACTTTCAGAATAATACAGAATACCTTCTACAGAAACTAGAATATTTTTTCTTCCGTCAGCTAGATTTTTAATACCATTTACGCTTAGCAGTACAACTAAATTTGTCATTCATATATTGTTGGATATGTGTGGGCGTATGCTTTTCAAATTCTCAGAACTTACTAAAACATTCGTTAACTTATCGGAGAGTTCGTGACGCTGATATTAATGAATTGTTATGTTACCAACGTAACTGAAATTAATTCCATTTATTCCTTTTGAAAGCTGGGTTGCAATCTCACGATTGAACGTAATTCATTAAAAAATGCGTTCTTTGTTAAAGACCGTGACCTTCAGCTCCATGGAATTCTATAATTAATTAAATTAACTTTTTCATGGATTAAAACATTTAGCAAAATGAATGTTAAATATTGGAAGATCTTTATTTCTTAACACGAATCGTCATAGTTTGGCATTACATTATTATATGTTCAAACGGTTTGGGAAAACATTTTATAGTGCTATTTTCTTTAAGCTATAAACAATTATTATTTATTCGCTTTAGAAATAATATCCATTGGGAGCACATACACTTGCTGCAGCGCTCTTGACATTCCATGAAGCAATGGAGGTACTTTTTTTCTTTTATAACTATCGCAAATTGGGCGTTAAGTCGTTTTGAGAAGCATGGATTGCCTGAAAATTTTTATTCTGAAGAAGAAAGGCAGCAGTGGAATTAAAATATAATACTGATGGTTGAAAGATGCTTTAACTTCGTTTGCTGAGCAAAGCGAACTATAATCTCTTGGATGTACCAATATATATTATGTGTGTTATTTTACACATACATAGTATGTGTGTAAAATAGAAATTATGTAAAACAGCTTTATAATTTAATTTAGTAATAGTCTTTTAATTCTTCTCCTTTAATTTGGTTATTTCCTCTGTATTTAAAAAACAAAAATTGGCTGGTGCATGACAGGCATTTGTTTCTCATAAAAAAAAACTTTAGCTTTTTGCTCAAAATATGATACTGATGGTTGAAAGACGCTTGTTTGCTGAAATTGAATTATCATTCTAGCAAGAAAGCGTGGGTTGAAAGCAACAGCGACAGGAAAGTTTGCTTTAAAATAAAATTAACTGTTAAGTAAATTAAATAAACCCCCACTATGCATATATATATATATACATATTGTATGTATGTATGTATGTATGTGTGTGTATGTATGTAATATTTTTTTGGGTACATTGACAGAACTTCGCGAGTTGGCTAGAGAAGATGAAACCAATCACTTTTTAGTCATGACCAAGATGGTTGTACGAGAGAGAGCTTTGAAGCTATTACGTAGTTAGATGAAATGATAGAGTTGTAGACAGATGGGCCAAGTTCAACATATAGTTTATTCTTGAACAGTCTTGGAACACCACTTTTCAGTGACATCTTAATTTCTTATGACATATTCTTGATTGGCACAGGGGGCAATCTGCATCCCATAAAACCCAATTACATTTTTGAACAACAGAAAGGAAGTACAGCGAATCGAGAGACATGGCTTATGCAGGTAGCAGCAGGCGAAAAAAGAGAAGGCGTGTATCGTGGCCGGAGCATTTAATAATCTCGGAACGCTTTGTTTTAATCCTGATCAACGATTGGGCAAAAGTCTACACTGCAATGCGGAATGCTGCGGAGAAAGAGGGACGTCAGTGCAGAAGCGAAGAGAGTTGTTTTTAATTCAAATTAGAAATTTAAAGTTCTATTTTTTATTCATGGTTGGCATACATTTTTATTTAATCCAACACAAATCAAACCGCGCTACAGCGCCTTGTTTTTAAAGAACGCTTTACATCGGATAAACTAGAAAAATATATTCTTTGAAGGCAGCAGCATGTTGCTACAGCAATGTGGAAGAGAGCAAACAGAGGCGGCCAAAGAGGAGCGAGACTGCGCACCAAAGTTTTTTTATACCAAGGTATGATTTTAGGATCACATTACAAGAATGTTTGCATTAAGTGAATTAACTTACTTTCAGATACATAAGACATTAATATTCGAATGCTGAGTTTAAATTTCACCGCATTCCAGGAATAATTGCAATAAAGAGCAGATGGTGGAACACTTTTCAGAATTTTAGGAAGTAAAGATTATATCAGAAAAGTTATAGTTTTGCTATTTTTAGAATGAAGAGGAGAGCATGCTCAAATTTAAAACAGGAGCTAAAGGGCTATTTTTAATTTATTATTAGAAAAGTATATATTTTATATTTTACATATATATATATATTTTCTCAGTTAAATTCAGTTATTACAAGTTTCACGCACTTGGCATAACTTTACCACTGATTTTTTTACTGTTATCATGTATTTGTGAATTTCTGTTATTCCTCTTTAGTAATATTTTATGATTTTCCAATTACTGCGCTGAAATTTTCATAAACGAGACAAATACACTTGATGGTGTTCATTCAAAATACTAGCCAAGGTCCAAGTATGTATTTACCCCAGTTTAAAGTTACATTTCATATTTATATTTGATGTTTTAACTAGCTATA